ATGTCAACCTTGTATGACCACTTTCCTTGCACCGACTACATGTCGATCTCTTCTTCTCTTCACCCTTAGACGGTATACGATCGTGACTTTTTGGTCGGCCAGGTAGCCTTCTGTCCATGGCTGGTGGCAAAACTGTTTGTAAGTCATCTGGTATGTCCCACTCAGAAGGATGTGGAATAGGGTAGACAATCTCGGCATAAGTCTGTCGATAAACTTCTGTAGTGTAGCAATCCATAGCGTATGCGCTTGAATCATCTTGGTTTAAATGAAGAGCAACTTTTATAACATGGCCACACGGATAACCAGATGTTTGCCATTTCATACAACTACACGTCTTTGCATTTAGATCGACTAGCCCATTTAAGTTATTATCCAGTACTTGAAACAAAGTGTTTGAACATGGTTCAACTCTCCATGACGTTGACTTCACAACACGTTTCGTTATCTTTTTTTCAGTCCATGGTGTAACACGATGTTCCAATGTTCCTGTAAATTTAAATAAACAATACTTAGTAAAATATATAAATATGATAAGTTACGAATTCAAAGAAATAATACCTGCATGGTTTCTTTTCTTGTAGTACCACTGTTGAATAGAGGCTCGAAAAAACTCCATTAACATAGTAATGGGTAATTTCCGGGAATGACGACTTAGAGCGTTGATTGATTCTGCACTATTAGACGTCATGAAACCATATCTTGCTCCAAGTTGATGTACTCTTGACCATCTTTCAAACCCGACATCTTCTAGTGTTTGAGCACACTGAGGCAAAACACGTCTTAAACAATTTATATGCTTATTGAAATCCACTTCCCGATAAGCTTTTACAGCCTTCCAGTATGTCCATTTGTGCTTTTTTATACCAGCAGACCTTGATTTTAGATTTCTATACAAATGAACACCACAAAGTCCATGAAAAGCATCTGGGAAACACCTTCTAACAGCGTTGTCAATTGAGTTTGCCCTATCGGATATGATTGTCAGATTGCTAATAGGACCTATGCAATCCCTAAGATGCCCCATAAACCATGTCCATGAATCAGAGGTTTCAGATTTGCCAACCCCGTAAGCTATTGGCAATATCCCATTGTTAGCATCCATGGCTACTGCTAATAAGTTTACTCCAAGGTATCGACCTTTCAAATGTGCTCCGTCAACTATAATAACTGGGCGCATGCAAGTAATAAACGAACGAATCTACAAAATAATATACACAAGAAATATAATCATTTAAATGTGAAATGCATGTAACTAACAAAAATGAGTCAACAAAATTATATTGATTTACTAACCGTAGCACCAATGGCGATAAACAGCAACTCAAAGCGTCCATCTCTATCTGTTTTGATATGAGTTACCGACCCAGGATTTTTCAGCTTTAAATTGTGACAATAAGCCGGCAGTTGGGCAAACGATGCTTCTGGCGACCCCCTCAACAATTCCAAGGCATAACATTTGGCTCTCCAAGCTTGAGAATATGATATACTAATCTTGAACTGAGCATTCATGTCAGTCATAATTTCATGTCCCCGATATACCCTGCCATTCAAAAACATTAACTCAGCCAGAAAACCACCCAACACCTTTTTGTTTGCCTGTCTATGGTGAGGAAAAACTTGGGTTCTTGAACATGTATGTTTATCAATAAAAGTCCTAACTTGAAACATTTTGCAATCTTTTATTCTCTTTGCAATCATACGCCACGTACAGTTTTTGTCAATCATACACCTTGTTTCGAAACGATCTTTGCTTGATTTGTTAACTTTTAGTTGATAGCCATCTTCCACACATTTCGTATATAAAGCTATCTTCAAGTCTTCCTTTGTATCAAAACAATCATCTTTCTTGATACGAATAACTTTTGTGTAACAATCAACTGCTTTCTTTATCAACTCTTCTTCCGGTATCTGAAGTAATTCTGGCATATTCCAGTTATACGCCCGTGGCATTTTCTTTTCTTCGGGGACTTTTTCTTCTTCTTTTTCTTCTTCAGGATTATATGAATTACAGAATGGATGTTCAACATGTTCATTCACAGTCGTAACTTCCTCCTCATTATCATCAACATTACATTCTTCGGCAACGGCTGTTTCATCATCAAAATTCGGGTATTGACCAATATCAATATCATTACACGCATGGTCTGTTTCTTCTTCTGAAACATCATCAAAATCCGTGTATTGACCAATATCAAAGTCCGGATATTGACCAAGACCAAATTTCGAATACTGACTAGTACTCACAATTTTTTCTGTTGGCTCATCATCGTCTAACTGGTCAATACGAAAACCGGAATTTGGTGCTGAAAGTTGATTGGGATTTGGATTAGAGAAAGGTTGTGGGTTTTGAGAAAAACTTAGTTGATTACTACCCGCTACTGACCCAACAATACTACTTCTAGGTTCAACAACATACAATGTAACATCATCTTGTGAAACACTAATGTAAGCAATGAATCGTTCAACATCTTCATTGTCGGTTAACAAATAAACTTTACCATTTCTCTGATAAGATAGCCTAAATCCACTTAGGGGCTCTAAATTCAATTTATTTGAAACACGTAGCATTAGAGTTTCATAAGTTAACTTTTGTAAAGACAATTTTAGTTGAAGATTCATGGGTAAAGGCATATATTGTAAAACACCATGAACATTATCCCATGACCCTCCAAAACACAAATCTATCCAAACATGATCAACATTAGATGATTTCATGGTTGTAAATTAATTTACTAAACAGACGAGCTGCGAAACTAAAACCTATTGCCGGATTGGGAAGGATGTCGTTGGATATAGGAACGGATGTCGCCGGAGAGAGTGATAGATGGAGATGGAATGAGTTGCGATTTAGGGATTTAGTTTATGATTTCAGTGTTATATACCCAAAATTTAAGTGTTGTGATTTACAGATTCTCGTTGCGATTTACGGATTATCGTTGCGATTTACAGATTCTCGTTGCGATTTACGGATTATCGTTGCGATTTACGGATACGCGTTGCGATTTACGGATTATCGTTGCAATTTACGGATACGCGTTGCGATTTACGGATACGCATTGCGATTTACGGATACGCGTTGCGATTTACGGATACACGTTGCAGTTTACGGATACGCGTTGCGATTTACGGATACGCGTTGCGATATACGGATACGCATTGCGATTTACCCATACGCGTTGCGATTTACGGATACACGTTGCGATTTACGGATACGCGTTGCGATTTATGTGTTCGCGTTGCGATTTTCATATTCGCGTTGCGATTATGTAAAATCGCAATGCGAATTTGTACTATCGCATCGCGATTTTCAAGAATCGCGTTGCGATTTTGGAAACTGATTTGCGATTCTGGGGATCGCGTTGCGATTTTTATTTCGCGTTGCGATTTTGTTGGTCATTTTGGCAAATCCAAAAAAAATTGGTTAAAATCGTATATTATAACTTTTTTTTGGTCACTGAGGCGATTCTCTCAAAAAAAAATAGTGTCAGATCACTAACTCAACACGCCACATCAATACTCCATTACTATTGTAACCATAGTTTTTAAAATCGGACCGGTTAGCGAACCGGTCATATTACCGGTCCGATCGGTCAGAAGAACCGAACAACGTCATAATTATTTAAAAAATTAAATACAAATATAAAAAATATTTAATAAAAAATAATTTTTTATATCACAAGTCATATTCAAAGCAAGTCATAACATATATAAGTTAAAAACCATAAAATCAAGTGAAACAAAATGATTCAAATTAACTACAACATAATATTTAAGGTAAAACGTATTAAATATTAAATATAATTATATAACTATAATTAAAAAATAAATTTGGGGCTAAAAAAATCATAACAAAATGATATTGTTTGGTTTAATTTTTTTTTAAAAAAACAATCTCACATTGTTAAGAAACATAGAAGATCATCCCAAAAGTCTAAAGAGTAAAAATATGAGAACAAAACAATACCACATGGCTAAGAAACATAGAAGAGCATCCCAACTAACTTCTATAAATAATAGAGGTAATTTGACATTCAAAATCATGGAGCCTTTTGGTGAGCATTGAGTGAACTATTCTTTCACTTTAATTAAACTCAAATTTTAGGCTTCAATCGAGCTTCTAATTTTTTTTTTAGTTCAAGCCTTTTCGAGTTTAAGTTTCAATATTATATTTCGAGTTCGAGTTGAACTTGATAATTTTTAGCTCGTGAGTTTGAGTCGAGTTGAACTTACTTTTAAAGTTTTCAAGTTCGAGTCGAGCTTAACAATGCTCGAGTTCAACTTGACTCATTTAACAAACAACGTCGTTTGATTTAATTAAAAAAAAAAACAAAATTGGCAATTTTTCCCTTTTTTTCGGTTTTCAGTCGGTCCGGTTTGAACGGTTCAACGGTTCCGACCGGTTCACTAGTAGTGATTCAACCAGTGTAGATTGAATCGGACTAGACAAAGGTTCCCGGTTGAACCGATTGAACTAGCCGGTCCGGTCCAATTTTCAAAACACTGATCGTAACATATATTAACGACGAGTGACCAATCTATTATAAATCGATAACATTAATGATCAATTTATTACAAAACAATAACTTTAGTGATCAATTTATTATTTTTAAAACTTCAGTGAGAAAAATAAAAATTTACTCAAATATTAATAGCTTAAAAATTAGTAGCCATTTGTGTAGTTTACTTAATACTCTTATTTTATATTTAAGAAGATAAAATGTAGGTATGTTAATTGTTCAATATTTTCAATTATTTCATATTCAACAACATAAAACATAATTACTCAATAAAATAAAATAAAATAAAATAAAATGTAGGTATGTTATTTTCAGTAATTGCTACATAAAGACGGCAAAAAGATAACCAAATTTAATAGCAACAACTTCAAAGAACAAGCAATTGTCCATAACAATCTTATATTAGTATCCGATGCTCGATACAGGAGATTGAACACCTCCCGAGCAACACAAGACATACTGCAAACACTTTTACATCTTTTCTTTTTTTTTCCTACTCAAGCAAGAGTACCTACATGCTTCAGATATTACGCACGATAACAACTACCTTATATAACCTTGTCCACCGAAACATCAACAACTTCTAGCACGAACATTATATCCACTCTATCGAATCCCTGCAAATTAGACAAAATGCAGAATACAAGACGTTGAATCCCTTTCAACAGTGGCTCATATTTCGGTTTTAAAGGAATGATTCGCAACCCATTGCAAAATAAATCTAGTAATAAACAATATGGTTAAATATTCTTCAGCCATTGAACTTAACTGGCAAGAAAGATGCTTAATAGGTATATAACAAGCAATATGAAGAGTAATATATGACATCATACGTTGATTTATAAATTTTCCCAGAGAATTCCATTTAAGGAAAGGAAGAAGTGATGTATTCAAACATTACTTGAAGCAAGAGAGGTTTCCAAGCAAAGGATAGCAGGCAATTTAAGAACAAAGATGTGAGGAAGGAGAGGTGGGAGTGAGTTATTGATGTTTAGAAAGGCAATACAAAGATAAATTTGGAGGTAATTTAATCCCTTTCAACATCTTGCAAGGCAAAGCTCATACCTCCTCACTTGAGACCTTCCTTACTAAAACTTTCCACAAATATCATTTGATATCAGTAAAGGTAGGAAAGCCTCAATCAAACACTCCATTTCCTTCGTATATTTTATTTACTAATTTGTTGACATACACGTTTAGTGTTCCAACATAAAAAATATATATCATACCAAAACTGATGAGCAACTGTGAGATCATTCATGCAGAATACCTCACCATTGAACCTATACCACTGAAAATACCATTGTCAAATTCTTAAACCATAGCCAATATCAATAACTTTTAGAAGCAAACAATCACTTGGAATAAGAGGAAAATCCGCAGGCAAAAATTGATAAAAGTAGGTTCCAAATGCACCTTAAAATATGTTAAATTGTTAACTATATAGAATCTTATATGTAAACATAGTGCATGGATGATACTGACAAAACCATCAACAGCTTGGAGGATTGATGAACAAGTATTACCTTTGCTAACAAGCCTCTACTCATCGTCTTCATGATAGCGTTTCCTGCTGCTCTTCTCAGACCTCTTTGCACCTCTTCCAACCCGTGAATCATCCGAACCACTAACATCAGAATCAGAGGGGGATTCGTGCCTATGGCTCTTCCTCCTATGCCGTTTACCAGAATAGTCAGACCCATCCGATGATTCAGAATCATTGGAATACCTATGACTTCTTCTTCTCCTCTTCTCCTTCCTACTCTTTCTTTTCCTAAGACCCCGACGATCATCACCCTCATCCTCATCTGAAGATTCATCCCTCTTCTTTCTCTTTTCTTTCCTCCTTTTCCTCCTACTTTCCTTCTCATCATCAGAATCAATAATTGCTCTTTTCCTACTGCTCCTTTTCTTTGACCTCCCTCTCTTCTTTTTCTCCCCAAGATCCGAATCCGAACTATCATCCTCACCACTCTTCTTCTTCTTTGATGACTTCCTCCCTTTGCTTATAACCTTCTTCCCAGATCTTTCAGCAATAATCCTCTCAATCTCCGAATCGACATCAGAATCCGAGCTCTCACTCTCACTCTCCTCGTCCTCGCTCTCCACCTCCTCCTTCCCACTCACTTTCCCTCTTTTCAACTTATCCAGTCCATTCAGAACCGCAGCCTGGATCGCTTCGGGGTGTTTCTCCTTACTCTCCTTCAAACTCACCAAATTCTTACACTGAAAAGTAAGATGCCCAACACGCCCACATTTTCTACAAGCTCCACGAGCCTCATCGGCGTTCGAGCCAGTGATTCGGGCAAGTGCTAAAAGCCCTTGAAAGTTAGTGTATGCGTTTTCACCATCGGGTTCAGCAGCGGCAGTCATCTGACCCGATGGATGTTTGGAATCATCTTTATTAGGCGCATAAGGGTCATACCCGATTGCACTTTGCCAAATCCCGTGGGTCTGTAAGGCGGCGCTACTATGAACCCGGTTGTTCGCGGGCATGCGAACCCTCCCTGCGGTGGCCGGCATCTTAAAGAGATTGAAATACCTTAATTCGTCGAATCAAGGGTTTCTTCTGATGTTGTCAGGGAAATCGAACTTCAATTTGCGAAGCAGAACACACAAACAAGTTAGGGTTATGTATTGAAATTAGAAAGAAATAAAATAAAAATAGGAATTGGGATTCTTACCACACACCTTCGAATTGATAATCGAAGAGTCGGCAATTGAGAGAAAAATAGGATTTTGGATTTCAAAATTTTCTGAAAGGCTTTATTTATTTATTTATTATTTAATTTTATGGTTAAAAATCGAAGTTATTCGAAAAGGCCAAAGCTAGTAATCTTCTTGAACAAACCACGCGGTTAGCATTTTCGTTATTTTTCTAAAAACATAGTTTAAATTTTTTATTAATTAAAAAATGAGATAAAAAATAAATATTTATTTTAAATACTATGTTGCAAAGTTTAAAAAATATTTAAATAATTTTAAAATTTCGTAATGTTATAATACATCAAAAATACTTTATTAAAATGTACGTATTTTTTTTAATAATTATATCATTATATGTGTTCTATGAGAAATATATATAAAATTTAAAATAATTTTTATTTAAGAAAATTGGTATAAAAAAGATATAATTTTTTAAATCCAGTAACTATTTACTGGAATAAAAATATAAATTATAAAATAAATATATCATTAGATAACAAGAAAATATTTAAATTATAATGTGATTCCAACAGTATTTTTCCAAACACAAAAGTTATAAACATTTTAATTTTTTTATGTTTGAACTAAAAACACTTTTTAAACGCACTTTTTTTACCAAAATATCAGCAATTTTTATAGCTTCAGAACTGTTTTTGACCTCAAAAACAACAAGCAATAAGACATTACTATAAAGTATAATATTTTTTTATTCATTTTTATAATTTTGTATATAATTAATATTTATGCTTCTTTTTTGGGAAATTAATATTTATGTTATATATAAAGTATTATTAAGTTAATATCACGAGTCAACATGACATCATCTCAGTTAAGAAAATACTAAAATATTCATTTATTAAACAATTATTATGATGATATTTGATTAACCCCTAGAAAATCACTGGGATATTATTTTTAAATATATTTCTAAAATAATACGTCCTCCGTCCCATGAAGATTGTCTTTTATTGATTTATTGAGAAATAATTCTTTTAAAATTTGGTCATAATTATTTTAAATGGTCAAATTTCATAAAATATAGGATTAAAATTTTTAAAATTATATTTTTATGTTTTTATTAAGAACAAATTTTAAATAATAAAGAGTTAAAACTAAAAAATTAACAAAATAATAATAAATGATAATTTTAGTAAAATATAGAGAGTATTATTTCTGGAAATAGGTTTTATTTCTTTCAAGAACGAACTCGACTAGGAGTTGAATTCCTTACAGAGTGTGTTAGTTAACATTGGTTTCTGGGCTTGAAAGATGATCCAAGCCTGAGATTGTATTATTATATGAACTCGACTTTTACTAGAGATTGACACATACGATAATGAAATTTGTCCAGGTACAAATGCTTATATACAATGGCTTGTAGTAGCTATATTGAAGTAGAAAGTTGAACTTATTTTGAAAATTTCATCAAGAAAAAGATGGATTGTTGTAGAATTATATATATATATATATATAAACCGAACAATTATTCTTGAAAATGGTTGAAGTAAGGTACGGATGTAAGATTTAATGTTAAGGGACGAATTTGAACTTATAAAATTTTAAGGGTTAAACTTGAACTTATAAAATTCTAGGGAGACGAAAATAGATTTTTAATATAGAATATATAAAAAAATCTAAAATTTATGATATTTTAAAATTTTAGGGGAGCGACCTGCTTAGGTCCATCACGGGTTGAAGTCGTATTTTCTTCAGTGATTAGTATTAGCACGTTGTTAGTGTAAGGCGTCTCTAGTGGATTAAGTCTGTAATGCCCAAAAGTGGAGATTCTTAAGATCGGGGTAGTGAAATTGGGTTTAGAAGCTTCTTAGTGAGTTATGAGTTATAAAATAGTGTACTTTAAAATCTGACCATAATATTAAAAAATTGACTGACAATCGTATTATAATCACATGTGCCATCACACGGCAATCCAAGTCTAACTATAATCTTAATAAACATTCATGGATATTGATGTAGTTATCGGAAAAATAATTGAAAATGAAAATGATCGAAAAGAAAAAAAATAAAGAACATTAAGATTTAAGTGAGAAATCTAACAGGAAAAAGCTACGAGAAGATAAGAAGTTTTACTATGTCGAAAAGTACAAGATTTATTACATCTATTTTCTTTAATACAAAACCATATTTCATACTCTCTATTTATAGCGTTAGAAAACAAAAGAGACTTGTATAGTAAAAATTGATATATTTCACAATAACGGATATTTACATGCATCTACATGTTGTACTTTAAAATCTGAATAATCTTTAAGTGAAAAACTTATATTCACCTAATCATTTGTAAGTTTCGACTCACATACAATCATGGAATAAGGTAAAGACTTAATTGCATCATTGCCGCTTAAAGTACGTCATTTGTATCAAGTTGTCCCTTAAAGTATTTTTGGAGAGTTTTTGTCCCCTAAAGTTCAAAACTTTATCTCATTTGACTCCATTAAAAATACAAAGGGTCAATTACATATGTAGTCATTTAACTATTATTATAGTTTCATTTTGGTTACCTAACTTTTTCTTTCCTTTCAAAATCATCACTAAACGTATATGGCTTGTTCACAAGCCACTAACTTTTGTATCTTCTTCTTTAAAGCAAACCCATGCAGCCATGTTCATCCCAAAGATTTCATCGATCAAGGTTTCACCTACAAAATTGCAACCCAAGATATTGTCTCAAGAATCGAAGATTAAAAGTTGGATTCATTAACACGATTCCAACAAAAAAAAGGTTAACGAGAGATCATTATTTCAAGCAAACTAATCTGATTCAATGGCTTCCTTACAATAACTTTATGTTTTCTTAGAGGCACTAGTCGATAGATTGAAGAAGATTAAAATGTCGAAGAATAATGGGATAATCGAAACACTCTTCTCCTTGAGTACATCAACATGGTGTCGTCTGTCACTACAACAACCATGGTCGATGCTACTGCTACAACTAACGACAGTGGCAACGCTAGATTTTCTTTTTTGGGTTTGAAGTTGGCATCCACTATTATGTTCTTATCAACCACTAAGATATTGGTTTTAATGAACTAGATTCAACTCAACTATGCACTTTCGACCATCGATGTATAGTAAAAAATGTTATAATCACCAAAATAAGAACAATTTGAAATCAAACTAATGTCATTAACGAAGAATATCAGTGGTGATGAAGACATTAAAAGAGCTTAGATGAATCGTTTCAATAGCTTGAAGAACAATTATGATATTCACAAGCGAAGAGTACTACAACCCAATCTCTTAATGACCCTTCCAAGTTACAATTTGGGTATCATTTTTGTCTCTCTCATTGACTTTCCTACTCCACAATGAAACTTCACCTATAACAAAGTTCCTAGAAGAACAACCAAAGCAATTAAGTCCCACAATATTTCATCAGTCACAACAGTAAACATTCATAAGGAAAAAGAAAGAGAAAACAAGATTTGAATCTTAGCATCACCTTAAATAATGTGGAGCTTTATTAACTTAATGTGTGTTTGTTCCACTGAAAATAGTTTCCAGAAAATGAGTTTTAAAAAATGAATTACATTTACTGAAAACATTTTTCCAGGAAGTATTTTTCATTGTTTGGGTGTTGTAGTGTAAAATGTTTTACATTGTTTGATTAATTTTTTTTGAAAACAATTCCAGAATATATTTTTAGTGAAATAAAAATACATATTTCATGAATGTTCTTGATTTTGTATCTTTTAATTTTATTGGCATAAATTTTTTATTTTGCAATCATTTTAATATAAAGTACAATGTTTTATTTGTATAAGTATGTCAAATTAAATTTTTATATAATACGAATATTTTATGTTGATTGTGTTATAAATACAATATTTTAGATTTGAAGTCTTCATAAATCTTATCCATTGATATTTTTAAACATTTGGGGACCTTGGGAAGGTTTTGAGAGTGATTTAGGGAGCTTTTTCGTAAGAAACATGACAATATACAGTAAAGGTTTCAAAACCCCCAATCTAGTTTCGAAACCCCTTGTCCTGAATTCAGAAATTACACCGTGGTTTCAAAACCACTATGGGAAAAAGGTCTAAAAAGGCCTAAAATATTACTCGGGAGGCCCTATACCCATAATATGATCATAAATGAGATCGAATTATGTGTAAAACACTAGAATAAATGTTAAGGAAGGTGTTTAAAGGTGGGTTACAATGGAAGCAACCATATTAAGCGTAATATGCTCATGTATCTTTAGTCGAGCACGTATCTAATAATTGAGAACGAGAATGATTGAAGAGGCTGTACTATCAAGTGGTACTAAAAGTAAGTTAAATTCAATAAGTTAGATTTAGTAACGGCTGAAAGCATGAACTTTGAGAATGTTGGTGAACAATAACATATAAGTCGTCCCTCCATTTTAAGGGGTATTGAATGTAAGTGTGATAAGAGTGACTAGAGTGTTGATAACTACGCAAAAAGGTTGTATTTTGTGCCTTTTTACTTAGGTTATTGTTCGTTTAAAATTCCATGTCATAGCATTTAAGGCCATGTAGTTGTATTTGGTGGTAAAGTCTTACTGCAACATTTATTTGTTTAAAATCGATGTTGCCGAGGGAAAGGTTTTGCTCTTTTGGTGTTGTATAGGTAAGCAAAGCATAAGGAGAAGACGTAGTTGCTGTAACATTTTGAAGAAGGAAAGATGAAAGTAATGTTGTAATAATTGTTGGATGGTTAATGTAGCATTCAGGAGAATGACTTGCCGCAGCGAAAGATGGACAACATAATCTAGAGCAAAAAAGACAAATTAGCAAAAATATCATTACCAAGTTGTTATTCCACACGTGACTCACTGCACTTGCTGTAATATTTAGGACTACTTGCCACCCTAACCACCCATTCACATGTGTATGATGACACCTAGGGTACAAAGGGAATTTAGGGACCAAAACCTAGAAAAAATCCCTTTATAAATATAGAAGTTACCCTACATTTTAAAGCATATTAGGGAGGATTCCTAAGAGAGAAAGGAGGCTAAAACCAACCTCCATTTTCTTTCCTTTTATCCCTCTTTCATGGTGTCC